TTCGCATGATGTTACAATAGACATTCGCATGATACTAGCTGAGTGTTTGCGACTAGACATTCGCATGATGTTACAATAGTCAGTACTAACTGAGTGTTTGCGACTAGACATTCGCATGATGTTACAATAGTCAGTACTAGCTGAGTGTTTGCGACTAGACATTCGCATGATGTTACAATAGGCAGTACTAACTGAGTGTTTGCGACTAGACATTCGCATGATGTTACAATAGTCAGTACTAGCTGAGTGTTTGCGACTAGACATTCGCATGATGTTACAATAGGCAGTACTAGCTGAGTGTTTGCGACTAGACATTCGTATGCTGTTATGACGCGTTGATTCTTCTTACTAGTTTCCGTGTGTGAGTGGTGTGTGTAACTAGCTAGTGTAAGTGAGAGAGAGCGAGAGAGAAAGGTTGCTCATCAAGGTATACAGTTGATACAGATGATGATCTACCACTCGGCCCCCTAACCTCCACAGTGTCGGTACATTCTATTAACCTCGTTACAGGCCTATTACCCACAGAGTGTCAGGAAATGGGTTCCGCTACTTGACCGATCACACCTTCAAATAAACACAAACATAGACCACTTTCAAGTAGCTGTTTACAGTCATTGGATTCCGACAAAGCTACCTGAAACGGGACTGAGGCGAGGGGAGACGACCACAGCCAAGAACACACTGACACAGTCAAGATTAGATTGCTCGATAACTTATCATAACACGATTGTCACGTGTGCTCAACAATATTCTTAAAAATGAAGTTGTTTGGTCAGTATTGTACGAATGCCTGTTTTCATCAACTCTTCGCTAGTGTTTCTCCAGCCGTTGTACGAACAGTTGTACACTGATGTTCACATACTTTCCAGTTTACCCATTACACTCGTGTGTCGCAACGTTGGTGTTTTCGTTTCTATATTTGTACAATCCATGTCATATAGCTCTTGGATTAAAGCTACACATCTCCCTGGTGGTTGGCGGTTTTAATTTTCCATTTCATCTATTTCAAAGAAAGCTACTAAATATATACGGAAATATAATATAATATATATATGAGTAGTATATGAGTATAAAGCACAGTGATGGTTGTACACTGAAGTGTAGACTAAGGCTTAGTCTCTGAAAATTTATAATTTTGATAGTAACAAACAAGCCCATTTATATTGAAAAGGAGCCCTAGGGAGATCAGAGATTCAGAACCTGAGGAAATCTAGACTTGCTTTATCTAGGGCTTTAGCACTGCAGAGATGGCTTGGCAGTAGGGAAATTAAAATGTGATTCAGGGACTGTGAGACAGACTAACTGAAGTGATGCTTCTGTCAGGGTTTAAAGCTCGTCACGTTCTAGTTCCGAATAAGTTCACTCGGACATGATCACCTTTGGGGTGGCCAGGATCCAGTTATTATGCTTTGTTTCCAGGTAACATACATATTAGTTTGGCGTTCATTACAATGACCTGACTTTCCAACCCCAAAACTTCGAACGTGGGTCTCAACGCCTCCCCACAGCACTAGCCAGAAGACAAAGATCCAACCGCATGCATGTAACAATTCATTACATACATCTTGGTGCTATTTTCAGTATATTAATGATTAATCTACATCTGAGGCGTTGAATTAGACACTTCGGCGTTAGTGTGTTTTCCCATTAAATTCACCGTCCATAGATGTTACTTGCTTTTGACGAGTACTGTAGTGTGCACCTGACAGCTGATCGTATCGACTGTGGTGAGCAATCTGGCCATGTGTTATTGAGAGAGGAATATCTAAGCATATGGCTGTTTAATGCTGTCCCCGGTCTGTTGGAAGGTAAGTATATGTTTATGTACCATTCACTGCTGTCGATGACGCCGACGGCAACGCGAGCTGCGGTACACGAGCTCAAGGGAGGCTTCGGACTTGATATTCCGTTGAGAAACAATCGCGGTATAAGTAATTCAAATTACGAACGACTTGTGTTCAGTGGTACTGTATCAGAAACCAGATAAAGCCCATCACATTTTGTTATTTGAAATATAATTTCTCTCTCTCAATATTCGTCGTATGAGTATTAACATACATGGCACATACACTCATAATACTGAGTGTTTCGATTAATTGATCATCTATGTCGACTTCATGATCAGGTGTTTAATGTCGGACGTTTGCTATCAGTTGTCCCGGTTTCTCGCTTACCCTTGCCAGTGTGTGCATCGTTCGGTGACAGGAGGTGCTGATACGAATGTAGGTATTCATGTAACTGTGTGACTCACCGTCGGCTGCACGCATCAAGATAAATATTATATTCATACCTCACATCTGTGTATACAAACATTGGCATGCCAATTATTCCAAAGTACGTTACGTAATATCCGTCACGGTGAGTGAATATACGATGGGATCAGTTACAGCATTTCAGATTCAGCATGGCGTGTCGAGGGGAGAAGACATCAAAGGTGAAGCCGCCTTTGCCACCTGGTTCGTTGTTTGTTGTTTTACGCCGCACACAGTGTACACGAGGGGCTGCAGATAATCGATTCAGTTCGAGTGCCGGACACACTGATATCTGGTGAACATACAACGATTGGGCAGATAATACCACACAACTATCTGAAAGCACAAAACACGAATGTGTTGCTGACAACAAGAATCGCTGTGTGAATAATTGTGGGTTCGAACCACGACTTTAAGATCCTGGTCGATGGGGAAGATGACATTTACACAACACTCGGCACGAATACTGTTGTTGCTTCAACGTAAATATGCATTCATTCACAAACTCGAGACAGCTGTGGGACAGGTTACCAACTGTTCAGTACAACTGAATGTTACAGTCGGAGACACTAGTTAACCAGTATAGTAGGAATGGTAAAGGATGATTCGATACGACCTAACTTCAGATAACACAGAGCGTGTGAAACATGATTTAAACAATCGTTTTATCCATTTATATATTTCTTGGGAGTCTGTGGCAGAAGTTGCTGGCCAAGTGGTCGAGTGACTGACTGAGGGGATGAGTGTTGCACTACATTCAGCCCACTTGGGTGGCACCCCACACTTTATGGCAGCACAGACCACAGATGAAACAATCTATATTACTGTTCATATTTCACTTTGCCGGTGGTAAAATCTCGATGAGCGTTAACACGATCTCAGATCTGATATCAGAAACCTTTGCTAAAAATAGCTCTACGTCTTATAGTAATGTGGAAATAGTTCTTGCTGTTTACATTGTATACAAACCTATATTCAGGTAGATCCAAGCTATAGGTAACCAGTGTACCTTCATTCTAAATATACAATGTACCTACATAATTACAATGACAAAACAGGACCGGTTCAGAGGAAGGGTATGCCAAAACATGACCGGATCAGAGTAAGGGTATGACAATACATGACTGGTTCAGAAGGGTATGACAAAACATGACTGGTTCTGAGGAAGGGTATGACAAAACAAGTTTGGTTCAGAGGAAGGGTATGACAATACATGACTGGTTCAGAAGGGTATGACAAAACATGACTGGTTCTGAGGAAGGGTATGACAAAACATGACTGGTTCAGAGGAAGGGTATGACAAAACATGACTGGTTCAGAGGAAGGGTATGACAAAACATGACCGGTTCAGAGGAAGGGTATGACAAAACATGACTGGTTCAGAGGAAGGGTATGACAAAACAAGTTTGGTTCAGAGGAAGGGTATGACAATACATGACTGGTTCAGAAGGGTATGACAAAACATGACTGGTTCTGAGGAAGGGTATGACAAAACATGACTGGTTCAGAGGAAGGGTATTACAAAACATGACTGGTTCAGAGGAAGGGTATGACAAAACATGACCGGTTCAGAGGAAGGGTATTACAAAACATGACTGGTTCAGAGGAAGGGTATGACAAAACATGACCGGTTCAGAGGAAGGGTATGACAAAACATGACTGGTTCAGAGGAAGGGTATGACAAAACAAGTTTGGTTCAGAGTAAGGGTATGACAATACATGACTGGTTCAGAAGGGTATGACAAAACATGACTGGTTCTGAGGAAGGGTATGACAAAACAAGTTTGGTTCAGAGGAAGGGTATGACAATACATGACTGGTTCAGAAGGGTATGACAAAACATGACTGGTTCAGAGGAAGGGTATGACAAAACATGACTGGTTCAGAGGAAGGGTATGACAAAACATGACCGGTTCAGAGGAAGGTATGACAAAACATGACTGGTTCAGAGGAAGAATTATGACAGAGAGAAGACAAAGGTATGACAAAACAAGTTTGGTTCAGAGGAAGGGTATTACAAAACATAGCTGGTTCAGAGGAAGGGTATGACAAAACATGACCGGTTTCAGAGGAAGGGTATGACAAAACATGACCGGTTCAGAAGGGTATGACAAAACATGACTGGTTCAGAGGAAGGGTATGACAAAACATGACCGGTTCAGAAGAAGGGTATGACAATACATGACTGGTTCTGAGGAAGGGTATGACAAAACAAGACCTGTTCTGAGGAAGGGTATGACAAAACAAGTTTGGTTCAGAGGAAGGGTATTACAAAACATGACTGGTTCAGAGGAAGGGTATGACAAAACAACACCGGTTCAGAAGAAGGGTATGACAATACATGACTGGTTCTGAGGAAGGGTATGACAAAACAAGACCTGTTCTGAGGAAGGGTATGACAAAACAAGTTTGGTTCAGAGGAAGGGTATTACAAAACATGACTGGTTCAGAGGAAGGGTATGACAAAACAACACCGGTTCTGAGGAAGGGTATGACAAAACAAGTTTGGTTCAGAGGAAGGGTATGACAAAACATGACCGGTTCAGACGAAGGTTATGACAAAACAAGTTTGGTTCAGAGGTAGGGTATTACAAAACATGACTGTTTGGAAGGACGGACATGACCATATCTTTCAGGCTGTACAGATTCCATATTTCACTCTTAACTTCGTAAACAATCAAGGTAATAAACATCCATGGTCGTTCCACCACAAACCTATGGTTTATCCAGTGTCTTATCTTGTTTCAGATGGTGACGACGTGAGCGAGGGTCTGGCGTCTTCCCCTTTCTGACAGTATTATAACATGGCAGGTATGGTAGTGTCCGTACAGGACAAGGTACACCTGACTCACTTGAAGTCATATTAACTTCAACACACATGGGGTTGATTAGACTAACGCTTAGTCCCTGAATACTAGTATATACAATTTTGACAGCAACAAATAAACCCATTTCATTTTAAAAGGAGCCCCATTGAGTTGGGAGATTCAGAACCTAGAAAAATCTAGACTTGCTTCATTTAGAGCTTTAGCATTGCAGGGAGGGCTAGGCTGTAGGGAAAATAATGTGGTTCGGGGACTGTAAGACAGACTAGGGGCTGATGACTGAGATCGAAGGGTTCACTGGACTCGACTGTCAGTGCAGGAACAGTGTTGTATCGCGTTAACCCTCAACCCAGGGATACCTGGATCACCCATAGCAGACACTGAAGAGGTAATTGTATTCACAGCTATTGGAAGGGCGTCAGGCCATCCACCACACACAGAGTGGGGATTGATCAGCGACGTCAGATCTCAATGACACACTACATCGCTCAGGTCGACGCCGATGTGCCCACAGCTGGCGTTGTCTGTCAGAATACAATCTACAATCACTACGGGGTGTTGACAAACGTCAAACATAGATCGAAGTATGGATTAATTAGGAGATAACCCTATTGTGATTTGTAGGTATTTCAAAGTAAATATGACACGGGAGAAGTATAGCTGTCACGGAGCTCATAAATGTGTTGTATCACAGAACAGTTACACCAACAGCAGCTCAATTGTTCTATAATTGATATATATTTGCAGGGCCGTAAATTTATGAAAAGGAAACACGATTTGTTTCGACGACAATGTGTAAATGAATGATCCTATATGCCGCAACCATCAATATCCCAATTTCATCATGTCGGTCTTACAGATTTGATTGACACATGTCATTGTATCCAAACTGCGTCGATCTACCTTAAGTGGCTTCCTTAAGTGGCGTAGATCGGTGCTCATGATCACTGGATTGTCTGGTCCAGACTCGAGTATTTACAGACCACCGTCATAAGGTGGAATAATGCTGAGTGCGGCGTTAAACAACATACAAACAAACTCTTACAAATATATCCATGTGAATATGTATAACCGGTCTGACTGAAATCACTGGTGCCAGTAACGACCACTGCCATTGGGACATGATGTCACACAATCACATAACTCACACGTTCATCTTCACGCTCGACGACGACGATGACAAAGGCAGTACTGTTGCGCCCTCCCGTTGCCCACCTTGTTTCCTAGCTGTCTCATCTTCCTGATATACCCGGATATAAAACAACACATGAGGCAACATTAGATACGTGTCATTCAAGCTTTAGAAAACTGTGCTTTTTACGATGAGAACGTGCTCTCCGATTAGATCCAGTATGATCGAGATGAGATGTAGACACTGTCTGGTTTCATAATTTTGTTATGAATGCATAAATCGCTCATTTGAGCATCAGGCACGTACCGCCAAATGCAAACATTGCAACAAAATGTCTGTGTAAATTGAGTTTTATTAAAGTTCTTTATATTCCTCTTTCCAGACTGTGAAGACCTCACGAACAAGGCTCACAACGCCTCCTTGACGCTCAGCACATCGTCCACAGCGGTCAACACCACAGTCACAGTCACGTGCTCGGACTCCAGTCAGCGATTGGTTGGCGAGAGTCAGCTGACCTGTCTCCCTACAACAGAATGGAGTGATCGGCTTCCGATATGTATTCGTACGAGATTAATGATTTTATAATTAACGATTCTAAAGATTTGGCGCGTGAAAGGCTTGTGTTTTACTCTTCTAAATGACCCGTGAAGATTCGGGTTAGAATTTGTCTTCAGTAAACCATGCTTGTCGTAAGAGGCGAGTAACGAGATCGGGCGGTCAGGCTCGCTGACTTAGTTGACACATGTCATCGTATCCAAACTGCGTAGATCGATGCTCATGATGTTGATCACTGGATAGTCTGGCGCAGACTCGATACTCGGCCTATGTCATAAAGCTGGAATATTGCTGAGTGCGGCGTTAAACAACAAACAAACTCTTGCACATATTTACATGTGGATATGTATATGGTTTGACTCTCACACATGACGTGGTCACGGCTTGAATGATGCCACGTGTTCATGTCACGTGTTCACCTTCACACGTAATGACAGTGCGCCTGGGTGGGGGACGTATCTCCTTTAGCTTGACTGTTACCGAATCACAGGTTGAAAGACTTGTATTCTTTAGCAAGTGACTTTAGAACCAGGTAGGATGAGAAGCGGCAGTGATCAAATCTGTATAACTATGGGAGTTCCTCGGCGAGTTGAGAACATAGTAAGACTGTCCACAAAGTGTGCAGTCTCTCCTCCTTTGTCTTCCAGGTGACTACTCTGACAGGGAGATTATTATCCTGGCTGTGACGTGCTCGGTGGTATTCATACTTGTTGTAGTGTTAGTACTCATCGTGATCATCCTGGCAAGAAGGAAATCAAGGACAAAAAGGAGAAGGTAAACATCCCACTTGGGTATATATACATGTAGTCTGCACTTTAGAGAAGCATGAAGCGTACTTCAGGAGTGGGGATAGAGGTGGTTCAGAAGAGGGAATGAAGGTGGTTCAGGGGCGGGGATGGAGGTGGTTTAGGAGAGGGGATGCAGGTGGTTCAGGAGAGGGAATGAAGGTGGTTCAGGAGAGGGGATGGAGGTGGTTTAGGAGAGGGGATGGATGTGGTTCAGGAGAGGGAATGGGGTGATTTAGGAGGGGATGGATGTGGTTCAGGAGGGGCTGGGAATGAAGGTGGTTCAGGAGCAGGGATGGAGGTGGTTCAGGAGAGGGGATGGAGGTGGTTCAGAGAGGGAATGAAGGTGGTTCAGGAGAGGGGATGGAGGTGATTTAGGAGAGGGGATGGATGTGGTTCAGGAGAGGGGCTGAAGGTGGTTCTTGAGAGGGGATGGAGGTGGTTCAGGAGAAACAACTAATACCATACAGGGTAGTTCAGGAGGTGGTTCAGGAGAGGGATGGGAGGTGGTTCAGGGGGTTGGAGGGAGAGGGAGGTGGTTCAGAGAGGGATGGAGGTGGTTCAGGAGAGGGGAGGGAGGTGGTTCAGGAGAGGAGGGGAGAGGGTCAAAAGGAGGTGGTTCAGGTTGAGAGGATCTCAGGGAGGTGGAGGAGGGAGTCCCTCCGCCACGGCTTCTCGCCCATTCCTCAATGTGTTGTACCTAAATGCTAATTATCGGTGGTGGTATTGGATACTCACATTCACATACAACATACGTTGACAGTAAAATGTACCTATACTGAATGCCTATCTCACTGTACCCATGTTTGCAGGAATGAGCGTCTGGCGCAGACCCTGGAGCGGCTCTCGATCCGAGACCCACTGGACGAGTTGGTGAGACGGGAGTCACGACGCAGCTCAATCGGCTACATGAACGACTCCATCAGCAGCCTGCCCAACACCAACGGCGACATCAGCCAGAGGTAAGACTGACTGACTGACTGAGTTTTGGTTTTACGCCGCTTTTAGCAATATTCCTGCAACATCACGGCGGGGGACACCAGAAATGGGCTTCACACATTGTACCCATGTGGGGATTCGAACCCGGGTCTTTGGCGTGACGAGCCAACGCCTTTACCACTAGGATACCCCACCGCCCAGCCAAAGGTAAGACCAGGTACACAGTGGCAGGCTTGTAACACAATGAAAATCACAGTTAGGGTTCGTTCTTGGCGTATTCACATTGCATGTTGGTCTCATTCTCATTGGTACCATTCAGCAATTCTGGTATCAAGGTCGTTTAGAAATAATTCTTCTACAAATCTACATCTCAAACAATCTGTTATATGATTTTGTCATTCATGGTTTGCACAGCAAGGATCCTGAGGACAGGATGGCTTCAGTTTGTCACATGAGAATAGGATGGCTACAGCGTGCCACCTGTGTGACTGTGTGAGGATCGGATGGCTACAGCGTGTCATCCCTTCGACAGTATGAGGATCGGATGGTTACAGTGTGTCATCCCTTCGACAGTATGAGGATCGGATGGTTACAGGATCGGATGGGATCGGACAGCAGTGTGGCATCCCTTCGACAGTATGAGGATCGGATGGCTACAGCGTGGCATCCCTTCGACTGTATCAGGATCGGATGGCTACAGCGTGTCATCCTTCGACTGCATTAGGACTGACTGACTGACTTTGGTTTTACGCCGCATCACGGCGGGGGACACCAGAAATGGGCTTCACACATTGTACCCATGTGGGGATTCGAACCCGGGTCTTCGGCGTAACGAGCCAACGCTTTAACCACCAGGCTACACCACCGCCCCGACTGCTTTAGGATCGGATGGCTACAGCGTGTCATCCCTTCGACTGCATTAGGATCTGATGGCTACAACGTATCATCCCTTCGACAGTATAAGAATCGGATGGCTACAGCTTGTCATCCCTTCGACTGTATGAGGATCGGATGGCTACAGCGTGTCATCCCTTCGACTGTATGAGGATCGGATGGTTACAGCGTGTCATCCCTTCGACTGTATGAGGATCGGATGGCTACAGCTTGTCATCCCTTCGACAGTATGAGGATCGGATGGTTACAGTGTGTCCTCACTTCGACAGTATGAGGATCGGATGGTTACAGTGTTTCACAACTCTGTGCTTTCAGTTCATGCGCTTTTGGAAGTAGTATAGGTACAAGATCCATTGTGAACCAGTTTGTATATATCGGATATACAGGATATTATATGAGTGCCCATGTCATACTATGTTTACGACACGAGTGCCTAAATGTTGGTATTTCCCGAGCGAGAGCGAGGGATATACCTATATTTAGGCAGGAGTGTCGTAAGCATAGTATGATTTGGGCACGAATATAATATTCTGTTTATTACCGAAGTCGTCAAATTGAGGAAAATAAACCCAAATCTACTTTCAAACATAGGCTGGCTACCCGCCGTCGCTGCATGTAGAACGCAACGTCACAGAATGAACGTGACGTCATAGCACTGTTCAAGACTTCACGTCATCATGACAAAGTGATATTTTGCCCTTGGGCACCGTATGAAAAATATGAACCCCGATATGTTCGCCCTCTTAGGTAACATTTTGATTCTCAATCAGATACAGTCCCTTTCAATTTTCGAACGTTTTTCTTCCGCCCGCCCCCTTGACTTTGACATGGAGGCATCTCCTCCAGATGATTTTGCACAATGGCGTTTGGGCGAATACTGTTTGGGATCCATATTGACTGAAGCAGAGATGTTGCTGATGAGATCATACGTTCCAGTGATAATCAATTACTGGTGATCTCGTTGCGATCTCCTAAAGCAGAGTTCCCTGTGTTGGTGAGGACTCCCAGCACTACTGGATTACCTTCAGCTGGATAGACCAGACTGTCACGCTGTGTCTGTGGAGTGCGTGTGTCACTATATTCCTATCTCCAAAGACATACATTTTTTCTTCATTTCGCGCAGTCATCAAATATGTTTGTATTTCAGGAGGCTTTATAAAGTCTGGACAAATGACCGCAACAGGAAGACCTTTGCCTTTGCTGATGACCTTGAGGAATTGACAGATCGAGGTAAGGTCACGTGAGGAAGCTACATCATGACTGTGCAGTTAGGCTCGACTGTCTCCAATGAAGACACAATAGCTATTATCGAATTCGATTCGTTCTGAACGTGTTTAAGTGAATTTCGATGTAATTTTACTAAATAAATATTCCGAGTTGAACCTGCAGACAATGAGCGCGAGATTTCCCTCACACGCCTGTAGGTTCACTTAGTGCCGCGAGGTCTGGAATCTGTAACACTGTATAACAAAACAGTCTCCAATGTGGCGAAATTTTACTATGTGTGAGTGATCTTTTGTAAGGAAACATATTTGTTCCACAGCGTAAAAACCTATGCTTCGTCTATGTTGATAATATTGACATCTACGCAATACATACGATCGATGTAGAGGAAGGTGATATTGTCATTGAAAACTTACTGTCTGCCGTGTGGAAAGAGTATATATAGTTACATAGTGTGGTACTAGACTTCCACTGTGTATACTGAATGATTAAAGGCACAATGTCACACCACACGTCTCTAAAAATACATAATGCATTTCTCTCAATAATACTATCAGCCCTTGGAGAAGCTACCATATAATTTATGCCCCCTGAAAAAAAACGTATTTGGATTACAATATTAAATAAAAAAATTCGAATGTATTAATGCAACATTGAATTAAATGGACACTCACGCCCTCTACCGGCCGAACATTATTTCAAGCTAACCCCATAGAGTTATGTCCCTTGGAGCGCTCTTTACGAATATCCTACTTGTGATTGAAATCGGTTCGGCAAACACCGACAACACCGCGTGCGACAGTTTATCGATGTACGGAGCAATCGTTTACATTCCATATATGGCAAGTGTTCTCTGTTTGGAAGCTGTTCACCTTGAAGCTTCAATTATCGATTTCAGGCAACTCGTAAGGGATAATAAGTCTTTTATTGCACCAATAGGAAGCTAAAGTGAGTGCATATGCCCCCAATATATAAATATAGGCCAAAATATTGTCGAAAATGTGAGACATCATCTGAGCACAACCACTCATCCTACATCCGCTATCTATCATCCCCGATGTACTCGCATATAACAATGTTAAATGGATAAATGTTCTGGACGCATTCATCTTAGCTTAACAGCATTCTATCTGGCCCCGTTAGAAACACGAGGCGTCTTCGAGACAGTTCCACTCATAAGACATTCTGTGCGCTGTTTCTGATGGAACTGTTTGACATGCTGACGTCACTTCCTGAACGAAACTGTTCGCGATTTGGAATGGTTCCAGTATATATAAGAGTATGGGGATACAATGCACTGTACTGTTGAAGGTGTCATTTTAAACTCCCATCTGTAGCCCATCGGTTGACTGTCTCTGTCGCCTTGTAAATAGCAGAAGAAAGGAGAAGATGTCACGTGTTGTTCTGCGCCCGGTTTACATTTTAGTAGGTGGACAACACCCGGCCCCGTGGGTCAGTGAGGCATTGTAAAAGAGCAGTAGAAATCACATGAGATGATATTCTAACTAAACTAGAGCTGCATCGCACATAGTAGTGGTCCGATTAATTGAAATAATCGAAGATTTGTCGCAGTGACTAAACAACCAAGCAATTGCTCATGTTTTCTCATATTCCAACACAAACAATTTCGGAAAACGTGTTTGCATTAATAATATTTTTTTCACATGGTTGGTTTGGTCTGTGTCATGAAATTTACATTTCATACGCACAAGAAGCTCATTTGCTATTTGCAAAAAATCTAAAGAGCTACATGCTTGTTTATTACGACATACCAAGCATAACAGGAAAATTTGATAAATGACGCTAACCAATTATTTACGATGACTGATCGGTTGTAATGAACCAATAACCAATCATATATCATGATATTTTAACCAATGCTCACCACTAATCGCACATGTACATTCCATTCACACACTTATAAATGTGAGATCAGGCAATAGCTGTAGGCCTATACACCAAACTTGTCTCCACACTCATTCCATATCCACCCCGGCCCACCCCTTATATGCTACAATAATACGTATATCCACCACTGCTTAGATGTCATTGTTTAGTTCTGTGTTGACCCCCTGTTGTCTGCTCCCACAGGCCGGGACAAGCTGGGGATCCGGGGCAAGGTCAAGGTTGTCCTGGAGGAGGACGGAACGGAGATAGATAATGACGAGATACTCCGCGCATGCTCAGGGAAAGTCTTACTTCTTAAACCAGTCAGCGACTCGTGGCAAGATTCGCGCATGCTTACGACCTTGGACACATTATCACCCGACAGCACTCGGTTTTAAGGCATGGAACTATTGTGGCACGTGGAGACTAAAACATATGGTATTTAGAGAAGATGGCGTCCAACAGGAAGTGACGTAAACGAGGAGCATTGTGGACGCCGTACCTGCGAACTCGCCATAACTATAGTCACATATTCGTCGACTACCTGTGGTTGTACTGAATACCGGCGAAGTGCAATATTAAAGCAATGTACACCACTCATGTCAGAGTTTGTGGAAGGTGCGTGTCGGCGAAAATGTGTCGATCCAACATTCACGAAGAAAGGCAACATGGAGTTGATTCTATATACTACTGCTGTGTCGTCATGTGAGTGGTGCCGTGCCTGACGTGCTACCCCCAGGTGTGTGATGGAGGGTAGAGACACAGATATGGTGCCCAACTATCACTCTGTCGAGTGGTACCTGCTGTGTAAGCTAATAATACTGGGATACCGTCCCAATTGACGATGGTATTTTCAAAACTGGGGATTTGTTTCTTGGGTGAACATGAAATTAGGATCTGCATATGAGTTTGATTGTTTAACCAGAGACCATATAATAATAATGGTCTCTGGTTTAACTGAACACAATAACGTATAAATCTTGAATTGCAAATATGATGTTACTGTCATTTTGGATTATATTATCAATTCCAAAATAAGATGTGTTTTCATATACATATTTGACCCTTGTGTGTAGTGCAACCGTCCACGTTCCGTCAGTTGTAACACCTATGTCCTGTGAGTGTGCTTCCATACCTAGTGATTGCCAGGAAATACTCCATATCTCGCCCTGACTTGTAACCCGCTTGGATGATGAACTTCCAACTCCGCGGGGCTGAATAAAGGTCTCATTGTGTTGTTACATTCTGACGTTTTAGTCACAGAGAAGGTGATTTCTCTCCAGTTATTATCTGAATCGATATTATCTTACAATTCAACTTGGATATTTACAAAGTGCAGATATCATAAATGTCAGTTATGTGCCAGTCTTGCACATCCCGGCGGAGCACGTCTCCTTGCCGTGCTTCCTGGTATGAAGATATTACATTATGAATATGTATAGCTCTGTCAGTGAGACAGCACAGGGCAGATGTCACCCTAACCCCGACTCTTCCCCCCACACCTCATCGTCTCTATACACAGCAGGGGAGAGGAATGTAGTCATCCCCTCTCCTGACTGTATCCCCACCCCTCATCGTCTCTGTACACGGCAGGGGAGGGGACTGTAGTCATCCCCTCTCCTGACTGTATCCCCACCCCTACCCCTGTCTCTACACCCACCCCGTATCTTCCACTATACAGCATATACTCAGAGATCTGGTCAATAACCGAGTCCTACATTGTCACATTTATCTAATAAACGTTTAATATGAACCACCTGTTTGTTGTCACTCTACGTTTGGGTACCTTGTGTGTCCAAGGCCTCCTACAATACTCTGCCCTGCTCACACGATCTCTCAGACTCACTTTATTATTATTCCCTGAATACCGTGGAGCCAAATCATCATGTTCAGCGAGATATTTGACATGGATGAGCATAACTACATGACACTGTTAATGGAAAACAACTTCTTTTTATTTTTTTCAATCAACTATTCTGTATTCTCAAACAATACAAAAACAAAACAAACAAATATTTTGTATTCTTCGATAAAGAATAGAAATAGAAAAGAATAAAGAGACATAAAACCAAAACAAGGATATAGAATTTAAAGAAGTTATCCATGAAAGGTATCATGTATTCCAGTGTCTCAGGGCGTGTGTATCCTGCCAGACACACCTGCTGCTGCTGGAGACTGCCACAGTGGAACCGACCGATACAGTGCACGTCTTCTTTACGATTTTACACCCTACATTACATCGTCATCATCTCGGTTAAAGTACGATTTCGTGCATGTGATTACTGACGTTTAGGATCACAATGCTAAACGTCTTTAATAACGCTTCCGTCCGTCAAAATGCTCAAGATCTCTGCTTCTCAGTTTAATAACCTTACGGCAAAGCTGTCATAACTATAAGAAGTAACTGGTAAATAGAGAACTAGTACTGATTGGTCGACAGTAGGAAACCCTAATAGACATGATATTGCTTTTTAAACATATCGACCGTGATGTGTGTTACTATTAGTTTTCGGAAAGTACTATTTTCTCCAAGCAAACTTACAATTTGGAGGTGAAAAGGTTTGGAACCTCTGCAAACTTCTTTGAAGTGAAGTTATTCAACTTTTGGATAATGACAACGGTCACCCGGGTAGGAGACTAGACAGTGGTAAAACGTGAAGTGAAGACTACTATCTGGGAACATACATGTATGCAGTAGATATTACACGATGTCATATTTACATAGACTGAGATACAGTTCCCAAATTCAAAGAGACGTTTCCAAGATCAGTCCATCCAAGGTCCTGTTTGTGTGCAACTGATTTCTGATAGTGTATCCAGGGTCCTCTCTGTGTGTGCAACTGATTTCTGATAGTGTACCCAGGGTCCTCTCTGTGTGTGCAACTGATTTCACATCGTGTATCTAGGATTCAGGGTGCTGTGTTAGGGATGTAGGGATGTTAGTTTCTGGCAGTAGGGGGTCGTTAAGTCTTTTTGACCTGGTCCAACCTGATCCTCAGATGTTGGCCCATGGCAGTCTGCGACTGGTTTCACATCGTGTATCCACGGTCCTGTTTGTGTGCAGCTGGTTTCACATCTTGTATCCTCGGTCCTGTTTGTGTGCAGCTGGTTTCACATCGTGTATCCTCGGTCCTGTTTGTGTGCAGCTGGTTTCACATCTTGTATCCTCGGTCCTGTTTGTGTGCAGCTGGTTTCACATCTTGTATCCATGGTCCTGTTTATGTGCAGCTGGTTTCACATCTTGTATCCAGGGTCCTGTTTGTGTGCAACTGGTTTCACATCTTGTATCCAGGGTCCTGTTTGTGTGCAACTGGTTTCAGGACTTGTTTATGTACAACCAACAACTGTTTCATGCCAGTGTCCAGCACATTCATTTGTACAACTATGTAACTGCTTTGAACAAATTAACGTGATTTCATAAGTGTCAGTTTTATTCAGTACTTCTTGGGGTGGTTTTGCGTAAATGTAAGTGGTAGCTAATGACCCAGCAGCTGGCACGAGCAGGGTGGTGTCTGTGCCAGTATTTCAGGCTGACAGCTTTAGCCAGTGTATTCAGCAGTTGTCTATAACCGGGAATAATTCCAGTAGGTTTCAGATTCTGACGCAATTGAAAGCACTCACTGATACACTGAACACAGACAGACAAATGCCACAAGGTTTATTGCAGAATCTAGTATATGTCTATAAAAATACAGGCTTAAAACAAAAAGGCTCTCTAAGCTCTGTGTATATCACATATGTATGGACTAGAAGCCTCTGTGACCAGGTGGATACAGGTACTGATGGTGCAGTGGTCAGTGTACATGTTGGAGGCCTGGACATCACACTTCATAGCGGAGCATGGAAGAACAAACCGAAGGAAGATGTATTTCCTCATCTGTATCATCAGGGCATTTGCAGAAGATTAAATCTATCATCACGACCTTCACCGGGGATTACATTTAACATCAGGACCTTTGACGTGAATTACCTGTAACAGCCAGTCCTTTGCAAGGAATTATATTTATCTAACAAATCTGAATCTAATGAAATCTAAGATTGTGACCTTCGCTGGGGCTATCCAACATCATGTTTCCAGTCCCATCAAAAGAGGCTACACAGAAACGCCCAGGTTCAATGGAATCTACCGACCTATTATTGTCCAGTAAAAATACTTATGTGTTTCAATATGTTGTCAAACACTGGCTATGTCAATAGCATATATTAGATGATGTGTTCTTCGTTTAATGATCCACTACAGCATCTGAATCAGTCTTTGTCTACATATTTGCACAGGAAGCCACAAAAGTGAACTAAAGATATCTTGCACCAAAGATTTTAAATATCAACATATTTTTGGCATAAAAAACTCCATCAATGTTTATCAGAATATAGTGATTGATTCTGATGAGAACATTCAGGTGGAGACTATATCATGACAGCAATTAATCCAACTCAGCTGTTGCAGTCTCAATCACATGCCTTGCTTTGGCACAATAAAATACACCACGGGACACAATAACAAACGCTTTTGTTTCAGACAATCTGCCCCACCAGGCAAAATAGCCCGGAATTAAAAAAGGTGTTGGACAGTGATGATGTTTGTTATACAGCAGAAGTCTAATTGTTGGTTGGTTTATGGTTGGGACAGGATGAAAACCATAAATGTCCCTAACATCTACTTGCCTACCCTTTCATTGCATTCCCCAAAATATACATGTATATTTATAATGATGTCCAAATTATTTCAATGGGTTCTTAGCACTATCTGTTCAGGTCTAGATCTGTTGGTAATACTGCTGGGTTGTCTACAAACATGATACAACTCTACAGGCTGCCATGGGCCAACATCTAAAGATAAGGTTGGACCTAACGACCCCTACTGCCAGTAACCTTCACCCCTAACACAACCCCCTACTGGAAGAGACCTTCATCCCTAACACAGCCCCCTACTGCCAGCAACCTTCTTCCCTAACACAGCCCCCTACTGCCAGCAACCTTCATCCCTAACACAACCCCCTACTGGAAGAGACCTTCATCCCTAACACTACCCCCTACTGCCAGCAACCTTCTTCCCTAACACAGCCGCTACTGCCAGTAACCTTCACCCCTAACACAACCCCCTACTGCCAGCAACCTTCATCCCTAACACAACCCCTACTGCCAGTAACCTTCACCCCTAACACAGCCCCTACTGACACCAACCTATATCCCTAACACTACCCCCTACTGCCAGCAACCTTCATCCCTAACACTGCCCCTACTGCCAGCAACCTTCATCCCTAACACAGCCCCCTACTGCCAGCAACCTTCATCCCTAACACAACCCCCTACTGCCAGTAACCTTCACCCCTAACACAGCCCCTACTGGAAGCAACCTTCATCCCTAACACAACCCCCTACTGCCAGTAACCTTCATCCCTAACACTACCCCCTACTGCCAGCAACCTTCATCCCTAACACAACCCCTACTGCCAGCAACCTTTCATCCCTAACACAGCCCCTACTGCCAGTAACCTTCAATTCCCTAACACAACCCCCCTACTGCCAGCAACCTTCATCACTAACACAGCCCCTACTGCCAGCAACCTTCATCACTAACACAACCCCCTACTGCCAGTAACCTTCACCCCTAACACTACCCCCTACTGCCAGCAACCTTCATCCCTAACACAACCCCCTACTGCCAGCAACCTTCATCCCTAACACAGCCCCCCTACTGCCAGTAACCTTTCACCCCTAACACAACCCCTACTGCCAGCAACCTTCATCACTAACACAGCCCCTACTGCCAGCAACCTTCATCACTAACACAGCCCCTACTGCCAGCAACCTTCATCCCTAACACAGCCCCTACTGCCAGTAACCTTCACCCCTAACACAACCCCCTACTGCCAGCAACCTTCATCCCTAACACAACCCCTACTGCCAGTAACCTTCACCCCTAACACAGCCCCTACTGACACCAACCTTCATCCCTAACACAGCCCCCTACTGCCAGAAACCTTCATCCCTAACACAGCCCCCTACTGCCAGCAACCTTCATCCCTAACACAACCCCCTACTGGAAGAGACCTTCATCCCTAACACTACCCCCTACTGCCAGCAACCTTCATCCCTAACACAACCCCCTACTGCCAACTACCTTCATCCCTAACACAGCCCCCTACTGCCAGCAACCTTCATCCCTAACACAGCCCCCTATTGCCAGCATCCCTAACACAGCCCCCTACTGACACCAACCTTCACCCCTAACACAACCCCTTACTGGAAGCAACCTTCATCCCTAACACAACCCCCTACTGCCAGTAACCTTCACCCCTAACACAACCCCTTACTGGAAGCAACCTTCATCCCTAACACAACTCCCTACTGCCAACTACCTTCATCCCTAACACAGCCCCTACTGCCAGCAACCTTCATCCCTAACACAACCCCCTACTGACACCAACCTTCATCCCTAACACAACTCCCTACTGCCAACTACCTTCATCCCTAACACAGCCCCTACTGCCAGCAACCTTCATCCCTAACACAGCCCCTACTGCCAGCAACCTTCATCCCTAACACAGCCCCCTATTGCCAGCATCCCTAACACAGCCCCCTACTGACACCAACCTCCATCCCTAACACAGCACCCTACTGCCAGCATCCTAACACAACCTTCATCCCTAACACAGCCCCTTACTGACACCAACCTCCATCCCTAACACAGCACCCTACTGCCAGCATCCCTAACACAGCCCCCTACTGACACCAACCTTCATCCCTAACACAGCCCCCTACTGACACCAACCTTCATCCCTAACACAGCCCCCTACTGACACCAACCTTCATCCCTAACACAGCCCCCTACTGCCAGCATCCCTAACACAGCCCCTACTGACACCAACCTTCATCCCTAACACAGCCCCCTACTGACACCAACCTTCATCCCTAACACAGCCCCTTACACACAGCCTTCCTAACACAGCCCCCTACTGCCCAACCTTCATCCCTAACACAGCCCCCTACTGACACCAACCTTCATCCCTAACACAGCCCCCTACTGACACCAACCTTCATCCCTAACACAGCCCCTTACTGACACCAACCTTCATCCCTAACACAGCCCCCTACTGACACCAACCTTCATCCCTAACACAGCCCCCTACTGACACAACCTTCATCCCTAACACTTCCCTATTGCCAGCATCCCTAACACAGCCCCTACTGACACCAACCTCCATCCCTAACACAGCCTCTACTGCCAGCATCCCTAACACAGCCCCCTACTGACACCAACCTTCATCCCTAACACAGCCCCCTACTGACACCAACCTTCATCCCTAACACAGCCCCCTACTGACACCAACCTTCATCCCTAACACAGCCCCCTACTGACACCAACCTTCATCCCTAACACAGCCCCCTACTGACACCAACCTTCATCCCTAACACAGCCCCCTACTGACACCAACCTTCATCCCTAACACAGCCCCCTACTGCCAGCATCACAAACTTGCTGATCTAGAATGATACAACCAAATAAATATTGTCATGATATACTAACAAACAAACATATGATAAACAAACCAGCAAACTCTGTCTCAATCTTAGTAAAATAGTCTGGGTTTTTAAAAAAAATCTTATCATGATGTAAACTGTCACATAAAAAGAGATTCAGATAAAATGCATTGTGTTGTTGTCTGAGGGATGAATATATGAGATTACCAGATATTGAAAAAATAACGATGCTGGTAACTGCCAGCAACTGTAGAATTGTGACATACACAAGGGAGAGAACTTGGGGACGTTAACTTCTTTATTGTGAGGACCAATGTTTCAGAGTATATGCGGACTCCTTCCTCAGCTGGATTCCTGTCACGATCCCACAACACAGAAGTCAGCATCCATATGTTCTCTCCCTCTGTGGACATCACTTCTAAATGAAACTCACAATATAATCTATATATTTCCACACCCAGCCAGAATCCTATATAAACACACCGACATATAGAACAGACATTCATAGAGTCTCAGCAAGCGGGCAGACCATAACTTTTTCCTTTGAAATTTACATCTATTTGAAGGTTTCATTAAACAGTGCTACTGTCTTACTAATCCTAACATCAAGTTCTTGAAAGGCATTTAGAAGTTGGACGATCATAAAGAATAAAAAGAAGATATTATCAATAAAAATGTGTCATGTATTCTTAATCTTTCACTTAACATCCACAACATATTCCCTCTGAAGTTCTGTTGCATAAGAATGATTAAAGCTTACTAAATACATAATGTTTACATGTATTTCATTCATGGAAATGTGTACCCTTAAAATGCATATGGCAGTAAAAACTCATTATATCAAAACAAAATCAAAATGTCTGACTAGAATAACATTCTCCATAGCAAGACATTAGAGAGTCTGGTCAAAGGGAGATAACTTCTCCCTGACACTCGCAATCCTTGAGATGCTGGTCAACAACCCTTGCATGTCTGTCTACAGCAAGAGCCATGCACCAGATGTTTCTCTGACTCCAGGAGGGACATACACTTGTCTTACAGATTCTTATCACTGACTTTGATCATTTTCATTGTGAAATCTAAAATCCCTTCAAATTAGCAAGACATGCAAAAGACATTTACACTTGAAAATCTGACTTGTTAACCAAAATGTAACCTTCTTCACCCAGCAAGCACACACTAGTATCACAGTGGACGGACCTCGGTGTAAGACATGAGTGGGGGGACACCTGCACAGCTGTAAACTGCAAGTTTCTCAGTCCATTGTGTCTATTGTCATTTGTAACTGGTATTAGCTTAGAACAGCATTGCATGGGAAACACTCCCCTACCTGTTGATAGCTATGTGCTAGGGGCCTCTCCCTGACAGCTACTGACGTGCTATGTAAGTGGGGCAGAAGACTGTAGCACTGTGCTAGGGGCCTCTCCCTGACAGCTATTGACGTCCTATGTATGGAGACAGAAGACTGTAGCACTGTGCTAGGGGCCTCTCCCTGACAGCTACTGACGTGCTATGTACGTGGATGGACAGAAGACTGTAGCACTGTGCTAGGGGCCTCCCTGACAGCTACTGGCGTGGCGTATATGTATGGAGACAGAAGACTGTAGCACTGTGCTAGGGGCCTCTCCCTGACAGCTATTGACGTCCTATGTATGGAGACAGAAGACTGTAGAACTGTGCTGGGGCCTCTCCCTGACAGCTACTGACGTGCTATGTATGGGGACAGAAGACTGTAGCACTGTGCTAGGGGCCTCTCCCTGACAGCTATGGCGTGCTGACGTCCTATGTATGGAGACAGAAGACTGTAGAACTGTGCTGGGGGCCTCTCCCTGACAGCTACTGACGTGCTATGTACGTGGGGACAGAAGACTGTAGCACTGTGCTAGGGGCCTCTCCCTGACAGCTATTGACGTCCTATGTATGGAGACAGAAGACTGTAGCACTGTGTTAGGGGCCTCTCCCTGACAGCTACTGACGCGCTATGTATGGGGACAGAAGACTGTAGCACTGTGCTAGGGGCCTCTCCCTGACAGCTACTGACGTGCTATGTATGGAGACAGAAGACTGTAGCACTGTGCTAGGGGCCTCTCCCTGACAGCTATTGACGTCCTATGTATGGAGACAGAAGACTGTAGCACTGTGCTGGGGGCCTCTCCCTGACAGCTACTGACGTGCTATGTACGTGGGGACAGAAGACTGTAGCACTGTGCTAGGGGCCTCTCCCTGACAGCTACTGACGTGCTATGTAATGTGGGGCAGAAGACTGTAGCACTGTGCTAGGGCCTCTCCTGACAGCTATTGACGCCCCATGTATGGAGACAGAAGACTGTAGCACTGTGCTAGGGGCTCTCCCTGACAGCTACTGACGCTATGTATGGGGACAGAAGACTGTAGCACTGTGCTAGGGCCTCTCCCCTGACAGCTACTGACGCAAGGTGTATGTGGGGACAGAAGACTGTAGCACTGTGTTAGGGCCTCTTCCTGACAGCTACTGACGTGCTATGTATGTGGGGACAGAAGACTGTAGCACTGTGCTAGGGGCCTCTCCCTGACAGCTACTGACGCTGTATGTATGGAGACAGAAGACTGTAGCACTGTGCTAGGGCCTCTCCCTGACAGCTACTGACGCGCTTATGTATGGGGACAGAAGACTGTAGCACTGTGCTAGGGGCCTCTCCCCTGACAGCTACTGACGACAGCTACTGCTATGTACGTGGGGACAGAAGACTGTAGCACTGTGTTAGGGGCCTCTTCCTGACAGCTACTGACGTCCTATGTATGTGGGGACAGAAGACTGTAGCACTGTGCTAGGGGCCTCTCCCTGACAGCTACTGACGTGCTATGTATGGAGACAGAAGACTGTAGAACTGTGCTGGGGCCCTCCCCTGACAGCTACTGACGTCCTATGTAATGGGGACAGAAGACTGAAGCACTGTGCTAGGGGCCTCTCCCTGACAGCTACTGACGTGCTATGTATGGGGACAGAAGACTGTAGCACTGTGCTAGGGGCCTCTTCCTGACAGCTACTGACGTGCTATGTATGGAGACAGAAGACTGTAGCACTGTGCTAGGGGCCTCTCCCTGACAGCTACTGACGTGCTATGTATGGGGACAGAAGACTGTAGCACTGTGCTAGGGGCCTCTTCCTGACAGCTACTGACGTGCTATGTATGGAGACAGAAGACTGTAGCACTGTGCTAGGGGCCTCTCCCTGACAGCTACTGACGTGCTATGTACGTGGGGACAGAAGACTGTAGCACTGTGCTAGGGGCCTCTCCCTGACAGCTACTGACGTGCTATGTATGGAGACAGAAGACTGTAGCACTGTGCTAGGGGCCTCTCCCTGACAGCTACTGACGTCTATGTATGGAGACAGAAGACTGTAGCACTGTGCTAGGGGCCTCTCCCTGACAGCTACTGACGTGCTATGTACGTGGGGACAGAAGACTGTAGCACTGTGCTAGGGGCCTCTCCCTGACAGCTACTGACGTGCTATGTATGGAGACAGAAGACTGTAGCACTGTGCTAGGGGCCTCTCCCTGACAGCTACTGACGTGCTATGTATGGAGACAGAAGACTGTAGCACTGTGCTAGGGGCCTCTCCCTGACCCCTACTGACGTGCTATGTACGTGGGACAGAAGACTGTAGCACTGTGTTAGGGGCCTCTTCCTGACAGCTACTGACACGCTGTGTACGTGAGATACAAGGTTGTACAAGACACTTCAGATATACAAGTGACACCAAACACCATGACAAACAACACAACAGACAGCTGCTACACCTGCAGGCTGGCTGACTCAACAATACACCATGAGTAAATACTACAATATGAAGAAGTGTTTCACTAACCTTGGACTAAACTTGGCATCATGACACAACTGCGATGTCTTTCCAGGGTTTTGAGAAAATCAAAACCAAGCTTTCAATTTCCAAGAAACAATGAACAAGAGGAGAATTTGTATTTGTAAAATTTGCACACAAAAAACTATATTGCACTGTCAGTAACATCAATATATCAATATATATCAAGGTTTTACCTTGCCTTACACAGGTGGGGGACCCTGAACCCCATCAATAAATGTTAGGGGTCCTTGCTGGTAAAGTATTGAAATGGTGTAGTAAGGTGTATGTTCAGATAATTACTCTAGAGCCAGGAATGAATCAGTGGTTATGTGGACAGTGTGATTTATGCACGGTAGGTATTTTGTGCACTCGTACTTTGGACGAAGTACTTTTGGATTTCTGTGTCCATTCTCCACATGTGCGCATTCTGGACGCACATTAGTGCATCGCGTATAACCTTTATACAGTGTATGAAATAAGCCAAAAACCCAGCCAGACATCTGGGCTGGTAACTTCAAAAACTTACCAGCCCAGAAGAGATTTAACCAGTTATCTGAATATTTCTTTTTCACCCGTCCATCGGGCTGGCTAGCTGTAAAATTAGACCGTCCGGCAGAAATCTAGCCCGTCTCGGGCGGTCGGACGGTCCTTATTTCATACACTGCTTTATATATATTTACTGTATGCACTTTTAAGTTGAGACTAGATAATTATTCGCATGAACAAAACATTCATAAACAATATTCATGTTCCATAAGACCTTATCTCACAGATCATGTCAAGTTAGTACCTGGAACCAAGGAACCGAGTTTTGTGTCTGTAATATGTGACTACATTTACCCATGTGGTCTACATATACTGGGCTGTTGTTACTGCCAAATGCCATGGTGCTTGTGTCCGGTTATTGCATGCTGGACAGACAGGGAGGGTCATCAGATCCTCCAGGGGGAGAAGCGAGTCAGACCCCGCATCATGTAAGGGTAGTCCTCCATCGCCATATCCTGGGCATCCCGTAGTAACATCGCCGCTCTGCAACAACAATCTCATGCAGCTACACGAAAATAACAACATCATTAAAATCTTTCCATGACGTTTAGAGGTGATACTCACAGAGGGCAAAACTTATGGATGTCAACTTCTGTGAAATAATCTGCTCCAGGAAGATGCATATGTATATTGAGCTTCACAAACCCAAGTCTTCCCGACAAAAGCAACCTTTCAACCAGTAGCAACCATCATCAATAATATGTAAAAAGGTTGAAAATCCATTCTGGAACCAGGTACTTTATATATGGTGAATCACCAAACACAAGACAAAGGCATCCATACCATAAAAGACATGTGCACAGACTAAGGCCTTATGAACTTTAATCCTCTGGAAATAAGATACAACATAAGAGGCACCTTCTTATACATGTGTAGGGCTGCCACGAATACACTATGTGGCGAATATGATACGTATCATGAATATTGGGTAACGAATACGAATAATTATTCACGAATACAAATAACGACTTGAACTCATGAAGGGCTACAGTTCGATTCACTGAATATGCGAGTGAATCATTACTGCCTTAATGTATTGTAATGGGATATTATGGGGGGAGGGGAGAAGAGGGAAGGAGGAGGAGAGTGTCATTGTTTTTGTACATACCTTGTACATAAAATTTAGGGGGGGGATATTTCACATTGTACATGTTTCTCCATAATAAAGTCATCATCTATCATCTGGAATTAGAACATTCCATAAACAATACTTTTCCACATACTATTCAACTTGATTACAAATTAATTCTGTTATGCTTTGCACCAAGATCCTTTAAGGGTAAAGCTATATTACCATTGCTTGTTAAAGATATATTTTTATACAAGTAAGAAAAAACTAAAGCTCTCATTCATTGCTCTAATGAAAATTTTAACAATCAAGTGGAAAAATTAACAGCTATGAGAAATTACCTTAATGCTGCCTGTACGAGGAAATTGAAACCTGTAAAACTGAAGAGGATAGCTTTATGTAATTAACTCCATACATTATCCACTGAGCTGTATGCACTAAGCATTGTACTCATAGACATGAAGAAATGAAGTTAGAGAAAAAAGAATACACTCTGATATGATGCGTTCTTTGTATAACAGAAGTTGACATCCATAAGTTTCCCCCTCAGTCTCATTCAAATCAGATTTCATTTCCAAAACCACTTAACTATGCCTCTCAGTGGAGAGCAGCCAGTCAAGATACTACATTGTCCTATGTGTGAACAAAGCATTGGAACAATATATCTGTAATCTTTATCAAGACAATTAACATAAATGGGCAGTTCAAAAAGAGAAAAACAATGGATGGTCCCTTTTGTGAATACATAAAGACATTGTATTCTGTGGGCACTACGATATCTACAACATGTTTAGCACAGTGAGGAGCAGTGATGGTATTAGGCACACCATGACAAGGCCTCAGCTGTGAGGAGGTGAAGCATTACTGGTGGAAGGGAGGTAACTCTTACTTCCTGGCCTTCATCTCCTTGTGTCTTCTGATGCAGATGAGGGCAAAGACAGAGATGAAGATTGCAGGCACAATGATGCCCATGACAATGAGGGCCACAAACACGGTCTCATCCTTGAGAGTAAGATGATGAAAGAACTCCTCTCTGCTCTCTGTGGGAAGACCACTGTTGGGAGTTGTGTGACCTGGTGATGTTTCAAACAAAGTATCAAAATTAGTCTACTTTACCACAGCAATATAACTTGTGACATGATACACCAGCTGCTCAAGTCAAAATGTATGCAAGATGAACTGCAATGATACTGACCATGGGATACAAAAACATTTAGGCAAGAGATCTGCTGACATTTTGATCAGTTATACAAAACATAATATTGCTGATCCATAACTACATGATTTTTTTAAAATACTCAAACATTTTAACTTTTAACAGTTTAAATTTGATTACATTTGTAATGATCAAAGTCCTCCCCTTACTTGCGCTGAGAAGTAATTAAAACTTACACACCAACCATTGCTTTGTAAAACAAACAATGGTTCATTAATGTTCAACAATGAAAAATATATATAATTCATAAATGTTTAGCTGTTTATATGAATAAACAGAAAATTATATCATATGACATAGCTCTGCCAAACTACCGAATAATCCGTAAAACACACAACTATGATTTCATATATGGAGGGTTTCTATCAATATGGCCGAGTAAACTCCAGAGAGACGGTTGAATGTCAGCATCACGACTGTTCAGAGCTGATGTCAAACATACATGGAAACTCCATCTTCACGACGGATGAAAATGTTATAACTACTAGGGCTACAACGAATACACGATGTGGCGAATATGACACGTATCATGAATATTGGGTAACGAATCCGAATAGTTATTCACAAATACAATATTGTAGTTAAAGGTCACATGCAACCAAAAAATCAAACGTAATTAAAACACAATTATTACTTCTTCATGACATATTATATTCATTGCTGATTCTGAAAAAACAAATAAAAAAAATTATAAGCATATAATCGCAAATGAAAAGTGCAATATTGTGTACTTCGGTTTACCTCCCTCGAAACGAAGCAGCCGGGATACCGAACCCAGTCAGAGCGGGTGGGTGTGCACTCAAGTGTAACGGCTGGTTCATTAGCAGATGCCGCCTTCACGGCTCATTGTGTGTGTATATATAGAGATGTTGGGTTTTGTAAATACATGCTCATTTTTTTGTGTATAACATTGTGCAATCAACAGACATCATAACATGTCATGTGTTCAAGTATCACACCTGCCTGTCTGTGTAATTACATAATGTGACAGAGACCGAACTCGGGCCATAAATCAATGCGTTTTGTTTATGGTGTATAGCCTGATTGGTGTTAAGTTCAAATTGCATGTGGTCAGTGATCGCAGTTGTGTATTGAATATTGTCATAAGCAGACAGGCAGGCAGACACACAGGTGTCAATAAAACAAGACATTGAGTTTTGTCTGTGACAGCGACATATCTATATCACAGTTAGAAATTGTGTCAACGCTAAATAATGACATTGCTTTTAAGTATCGAACTGAGAAAGTGACTCGGTAAGAAGAACGTGTGGTGAAATAGACAAATGAAATTATATAAACAGTTTACTAGTATTTACTGTCATAACATATAAAAAGCTCGCGCCTGTGAGATATCAACAAAACATTATGAAAATAGCTCACACCAAAGCCTTCACCGAGTATTCACCAGACAGCCCGCTTCCAAGTTGCGCGAACCTATTTCACTGCGCACGTGCTATGAGCGCAGCCCAGCTGTTGAAACCCGTATTCCCCAGAAAAGTCTGGGGAAATTTAGTGAAACGTTTGAACTCCGATTTCGCGCGTTTTTTTTCATCGCGTTATTTTTCAACTTTATAAGTTGAATTTGCATTTTTGACACTTTGTTTCAGTAAGTCCATACCGAAAGGTATCAGAATCTGCAAAGTTGTGTTTTACGTTGCATGTGACCTTTAAGTGATTGATTAGACTAACAACTAGTCTCTGAAATGAACATATTTTACTGAAAAAGTTCATAGTAAAAGTAAAAAAATATAATGAAAAGGAGCCCTGAGACTTTCTTCCTAGACTTGCCACATTTTCTAGACTTGGGTGGGCTTTCTTGGATATATTTGCTTCAGGGTCTGTACTAGAGACTAGTGATTGATGTACAATATGGAACACCCATGTTGACAGTTTTGATTTGTCACAGCAATAACCAGTGATCTCGTGACACTCAAATTTTGTATGTAATAGTTATAGTCGACAGTACCATGTGCGGCCGTGGCAAACTAACATGACTTTCACTACTGCAAGGCTAGTACATATTCAATCCTTGCATATGTCACTTTCCAGAAGTACACAAGGGTTCAAGTAAAACATGCTCCATTAAAAAGTCGTAAATATTCGTTAATATTCGGTTCTGGTGAGCACGAATAACAAATTGAATTCATGAAGGGCTACGGTCCGATTCACCAAATATGCAAGTGAATCGTTACACCCTTAATAACTACCACTGTTATGATGATGATATACAGTCATAACCAGTCATGTTATTCTAATGATCAGTCATAATCACTGGTAATTTTTATTTTTTTTCATTCCAGGAAAATCAGGTTACAAGTATTCAGAGACAATGGTTACAATGGCTGTCAAATGAGTAGTTTATAAGTGATAATTCTCAGATACAGAGATGGCAATATTCTGGTAAAATAGTTCCCTATACAAACCTAGAGACTGATACTGACAGCAAGTCGTCGCCTGCAAACCAGAGTGTTCTAGGTAAAAAAAACCCTATTTTCGAGAAAATTGATCTTGAAGTATAGAACAACAATATTTTCAAAACTATTCGATCAAATTCTTTAGAATTGTGCACATATACGTATTACATCAAAAAGACTTGGAAAATATCCAAAAGTATGTGAAAGCTGTTGAAATAAATAAGAAATTAACGAAAAACGCCTGGAGGTAGAACATTCGCGCAAATAGATTTGTAATTTTGTTCAGAACCACAGGGGGGCGGTGGGGTAGCCTAGTGGTTAAAGCGTTGGCTCCCCACATGGGTACAATGTGTGAAGCCCATTTCTGGTGTCCCCCGCCGTGATGTTGCTGGAATATTGCTAAAAGCGGCGTAAAACCAAACTCAGTCAGTCAGAACCACAGTGTTCTATATGTATCAGAAATACAGCTGAGTTGTTATTGTATGATTATTTCTCCCTTAACAGGTTGTATTTTTGTTTGTTTTAGTTTCATAGATAAAGAATTACATTAAATAAAACATAAATAAGAGCAATGTTCCAATGTTCTAATTTCCATTTGTATGTGTATAATGATGATAGAAACTTCCAGATTATTCCATCTTCATGTCATGTGATCAAACTGGATTTGCTGATTGGTCCAATAACCACATATAATTAGAATACTCTGGAACTAACAATTTGTGTTATTTTATGGCATTAAAACAATGTAAAACCACTTTCTAGGCCATACATCACAGTGAAACTTTGCATGGAGAATATGCAGTAAAACATACCCTCAGCTTCCTAACTTAATTTTCACCAAATGTGGACATAGAACACTATGGTTTTCAGGTGACAAAATTTCCTTTGATATAATCAACTGTGGAGAAAGGTGCACTTTGATGTAATATTTTTTCTCAAAGTTCAAACATTCCTTTTATCTGAAAATATACTGCATAACTGCATTCACAACCAATCTGAACTTAATCAAGCATTACAATTTTGGAAAAAGGACCAAGATTTTAAAAACCCAAATACAATGACAATTTCAGGAAATACAGATGAAGAGGACACTGATTACAATGAATGACTGACTCATTAGAATAAACCGATTAGGCCCAGTAATTGATGAGTGAAATCCCAAACACTAGTCTCTACCTGACATATTGAGTTTTCTGACGAGGTTAAGCAAGCTGGGTTCAAGTGGACTGGATGTAGTGGAGGTGTTCATGTCTCCGCGGTCAGGCTGCCCTCATGCTGGACATCTGCAGGATACACACGGTGTCAAAACAGTGGCAGAGAATAGTGACACAGTTTCTTGCTATAAGTCAATATCTACTAATATTTTAGACTTGTTGAAGGTACAGATTTGTTGGATATTTATGATGAGAATTATACACCAAGACTTAAAAGAAATTATGTCAACGAAAATGCATTAAGTACTGGTGTTGCCTCAGTCCGTGGCTTGTTAACTTCAGCGTGCTGGGTCAATTAGTGCAACTGCCACAAATAATTTGAGTATGTAAGAATGCTGTCTTAGTGTCTAGATTAAACAAATTTCACCATTAGAGTTCAGTGACAGCAGTCAAGATACCAGCTAATTGTTTTCATCAAACGGTATTAGTAGGCAAATCTGCGCCCTGTTCCACAGACATTATTACGCTGTTGCTGATGTTGGACCGAGAATAAGATGATGTTTACTTACCACGCGAGTGCAATGTCAATCTAATTTTTCTCTCTTTAAAGGGAGATAACCACCGAAAGACAGACAGTATATACCACTAAAACATATTTTGACACCGCAAGGAGTCTAGCTGCCTCACAGGCCCCAAACCATACTATTTTTCCTTCCTCCCTGCCCTCAAAGCCATGGTCACAGAAAAAGCAAATCTAGAATTTAAAAACTCCCACCTCACTTGTGCTCCTTTTCAATTTAAACGGAGCTGTTAAATTATCTCAAATATATATATTTCGCAGGGCTGTATAACCACGAAAAAAAATTACCGCTTCACTCCAAAGCAAGCTAGTTACAAATTGTATTGGGTTGGGCGCGAGGGAGATTGTCCCAGATAACCGAGAAAATCTAAAATTATTATCGTCGGTCTAATAATAGGGTATGGAGGCAATACAATATTGGGTTATACTGAACCAGTGTAAATATCACTTCACGCGAGCCAATGTATTTTTTGGGTCATCCGGTCGACATTGTTGACGTAAGGTTGGAATGACGTCACCCTAAAAATGACTTCAGTCATGTTGACCGTTGACGTTATTACAGCTGTGGCTTTCTAAAACGGCGGAAGTGATCAGCTGAGCTAAAAACGACTAGGACATAGAGGATAGTATATGAGTGACCATGTCATACTATGTTTACGACACGAGTGCCTAAATGTTGGTATTTCCTGAGCGAGAGTGAGGGATATACCGATATTTAGGCACTAGTGTCGTAAACATAGTATGATATGGCCACGAATATAATGTTCTATTTATTACCGAAGTCGTCAAATTTAGGAAATTAACCCAAATCTACTTTCAAACATATATGGCTGGTTACCCGCCGTCGCCGCACAAAAAGAACGCAACGTCATAGAAAATACGTGACGTCATAGCCTTGTTCATGACGTCACGCCACCATGACAACGTGATATTTTGCCCTAGGGTATCGTATGAAAAATATGAACCCCAATGTGTTCGCCCTCGTAGGTAATAAATAGAGAATACTAAACGAGGTCCCGTACGAGCGAAACAACACCAGCAAAATAATATCGAGCAAAGTACTTCTTTCCTAAGTATTCAACGAGTGTGATGACTCTCAGCTTTCCGTGAGTCAAGCAAGGTCTAATACTATTGTGACAGAGGTATTAGCATTGTGACGTCATAGCTGTAAACCACTTTGACGTCATACATACGAATTGTAAAATTATTAAACAGTGATATCTTCAACGGGTGAGCAAGAACACACGTAAACTCATGTTCATTCTCCAAACTTGAATGAACCACGAAATATGATGAAAACTTATAGACACAGTACATATAAACAGATACATGTGTTCTATATTATAAAATGACAGAAGGAAACAAAAAAAATCTAACTACATTTCGCTCAGTCTTTCTGCAAATGACTTTGAATGCGTTCACCCTATGTACATCACTGCTGTACTCACCGTTCTGTTGTCTGAACACTACTCTTTCTTATACCACCCTGTCTGGGATCTGAATGGGAGTAAGTGTGTAGAGTGAATTACGGTATGGTACTCTGGTCCGTTGTAACAATGTGCATTTTAGACAGCTGCCCAGTCTCTGACTCATGTTGTGTATCCAGCTACTGGCTTGATTGGCTACTGACATGTCGGACCACAGACCAGCATGGCTACTGACGTGTCGGACCACAGACCAGCATGGCTACTGACGTGTCGGACCATAGACCAGCATGGCTACTGACGTGTCGGACCACAGACCAGCATGGCTACTGACGTGTCGGACCACAGACCAACATGGCTACTGACGTGTCGGACCACAGACCAGCATGGCTACTGACGTGTCGGACCACAGACCAGCTTGGCTACTGACGTGTCTGTCTGACAACTGACATGTATGGCTACTGATATGTCTGACTTTCCTGTGTGAATATTGACATGCTACTGGCTTGCCTGGCTACTGACATGTATGTATCTATTAAATTGTACTAATTGTAACAATATCATACATTACTGATATCACTTATATATATAAAATGTGTTATCTGCAAAAGCAGGCCCCACAGATAGCGAACATCTCTTTCACTGAGATGACTAACCAGATTCGAGGCATAAATCATCGTAGTTTTCAATAAATCTGCTAACTGTCCCTAATGAATGGATGTGAAATGTGTCTTAATTAACAGAAGATGCTTCACTCGAGACAATGGGACCTGAGCCTATGAGATCACTGTGTAAACAGGTCTTCCCATCTAACGACGTTGTAATCTTTATGTAATCAGTGGATAATACTTTCAATTAATCAAGAAGATTGCCCATAATGAGAAACTGATTATATCACGTCATCCAACATTAGAGGATAATTTCATTGTCACTCTTTTCGTAGATTTTCCAAATGGAAATGCGATTTTCTCGCTCTTTCGTCCAAGTGTATTAATAGCCTTATCATGAGATTTATAAACAATGTTAAACCATGCACGTCGGTCATATAAGCCAGTGCCTTTTGTCGATCTTCAGTGCATTAGATTAGGCCGTTTGTTTAAGTATTACACGCCAGTTCGCGGCCTTCAACACAACAATAAAACATTTTTCTACACGAAGCCGGCTATAGTTTTGCTCCAAGTACCGCTCCGCCCCAGCGCGTGTCCCGTGCCCTCGAGAATCTCGGCACCGAGAATAATTAGCCACGTTGAGCACTTCTGATTGTCGGGTTCGCCATTTTAACTCGATTACTGGTCGCATAGGCCATCTGGCATGGGAAGCAAGAATTATTCGACATTTTGTTTCCAGTTTTTCTTGCTATCCAAAGGTTTCCATGGTTACGAAAAATGGCCTTTTGAACGTTTCAAACGTGATTCGTAATTCTTCGATGAAAAATGATGTACATATATAGAAGTTATATGCAGACAAGATCAATATATACTCTCTTCATAAGAGGGCATGCATAGTGTTTGTAAATTGAAATCATCTCAAATGAAACATACACCTTTTGCCACAAACAAGTTGGGAATAGATTAGCCATGATATTTGTTATACTAGTAGAGCCAGTCAACATGTAGAATCTCACAAATATCTTAGTGTCACTTCTTTGAGTGGCATGTTAGAAGTTGGGTAGTACAATATAGACAGACTTTATGGAAATTTCTGCTTGATAGCGGTACAAGAAACTGTATCGAAACGTCGCCCTCTCGAAATACAAAGAAACATCGTTGTTCATCAACATTGGGAAAATACAAGTACTCAATTAAATTCTACCTAGCAACAGTGAGTGAGTGAGTTTAGTTGTACGCCGCACTCAGCAATATTCCAGCTATATGGCGGCGGTATGTAAATAATTGAGTCTGGACCAGACCATCTCATGATCAACAGCATGAGCATCGATCTGCGGAACTGGGAACCGAGGACATGTGTCAACCAAACCAGCGAGTCTGACCACCCGATCCCGTTAGTCGCCTCTTACCGACAAGCATGGGTTACTGAAGGTACATTCTGACCCGGACCTTCACGGGTTCTACCTAGTAACAATTACGTATAGCGTATAGTAGAAAAGAAACAGATCTTAAAGGAACTTATGTAGGAATTACGTGTCAGCTGCTAATGCTCCGCTGTGTTGTTTCCGGGTTACTTGTGTGTTGGACACGTGGTCACAGAGTATAATGTCTTTCAGCTATAGGGCCACTGTGTGGTTTGGTATTCTATATATGATTTGGGTGTAAACCAAAGTTCAGTAATATTCTCTAGCCATACTTCCTCTGCACTACACGTACGATGGTCTATCAAAAAATATTTCTGACATGTACATGATATAAATAAATAACTGTATGGTATCGAGGAATGGTTGATATAATTCACATGAACGTAATATTGACATGCACGTGTCGCTAGTTTCCGTTCACATGACATCTAGTCACATGTACCCCCATTAAAATGTCAGAAATGGATAAGCTCGAAGCACATTGAAGAGCGATTGACAGCAGAACGAGTACTAAGACTACTCTCTCTCTCTCTCTCTCTCTCTCTCTCTCTCTCTCTCTCTCTCTGTGTCTCTCTCTCTCTCTCTCTCTCTCTCTCTCTCTCTCTCTGTCTCTGTCTCTCTCTCTCTCTCTCTCTCTCTCTCTCTATCTCTATCTCTCTATATATATACCAATGATATACATGTAAACCATTCTTCAGTATCATACAGTTATTGTTATCATGCACATACCAGAAGTATTTTAGGCTCAAAACTTTTGATATCCCTCGTATGTACACAATATAATCTGCACTATCGTTATTCACATACCACACTGTAATGAAATGTACATAGCAGTGTGTGACTCATACCTAATCCAGCTGATTTTAACAATATGGTTACGTCAAGTAAAGGGTCGACACAGAGCAAACTGATGGATATTTATTTCGTATTGTCTCGAATCAAAAGAAGTGAAAATCACGCATATGGTTCCACGGTGGCTGAGTGGGTTAGATGGCTGACTTTTGTGTACTGACGATTAGGTGCCTGGCACTAAGAATGTGGGTTCGAATCCCTGAAGGGACTCAACCAGAGAAAGTGTAATCCCAAATGTTGCATCGTAAGTAGGTTGGTCTGGAGTTGTGTCTAGTATACCATAAGTCCAGTTCCGCAGTATATATAATGTATATCTAGTTTGCGTAAACATAGTTTATTTTCCAAAATGTGTATTTACATATAACACATATACATTGTTAGGTTGCCTGGTGTTAAGGCACTGGGCATGTGTCGACTATGATGTGTGTGTGTGTGTGTGTGTGAGTGTGAGTGTGAGTGAGTGTGTGTGTGTGTGTGTGTGTGTGTGTTTGTGTGTGTGTGTGTGTGTGTGTGTGTGTGTGTGTGTGTGTGTGTGTGTGTGTGTGTGTGTGTGTGTGTGTGTGAACACAGATACAACACATCTCACCCTCACATTCCTTGGTTTGCATAAATATACATAGACATAAAAAGATAAGCTTCCAACTTGGAACAGGGGTATTTACCTACCAGTTCCGTACTTTTGTGAATCTAAGGAGATGAAGCTACATCATTGTATTACTAAGGCTATATACAAAAATATTCTTGATTCTCATTACCGCCCCACCCAAAAATTCGACCCGACCCTAAGATATTTATATTTTTCAAACTAGAGAAAATGCAACTGGACTCTCAAAATGTCCGTCAATTGTTCACACTTCTAAGTTGTGATTTTCTATCGGGGAAAAGGTGTAAATTTCTCACGGGTTTTCGACATAAAATAAAATGTACAAATAAAATCACCCCGTGATATTTCTTTGTAAAAGTAAGAGAACACAAGAATATATGACCCCTGCTTTGTGAAAACCCCCAGTGTCACACTGGACCTCGTCCTACTGGCCATCCGGCAGTATATACTGGACATGAGGGGGGTATCCCGGAGGACCATTAACCAACATGTTATTACACCATATACACGTAATTCGCGTACCTATATACACGTAATTTACGCTGTCGGCAGAATATAGAAATAGTCATCTCTCGAGATTAGTTCAAGCGTTCAGTTCAAAACGTATAATAAAGAGAAATATATCTGAATAATATTTTATTATGATTTAATAAAAATGGAAGAAGCTTCAAAGATAATAGAGTCGGGAATGGAACCAGGATTTGTTTGGATCTTAAGCGCCAATAAGGCCACTTACACCGTCAATACTTTCTTCGAACAGAAGCAAATATATGACGCATTACTGTCATAATTATTGTCATGCGTACTGTTGCGTTCATATAACTTATGCACACAGTGGAACTTAAAAGATGAAAATATACAAGCTATTTTGCGCGATCAAATATTCAGCAGAATTTCTGTACAAGACGCTGAAAAAATCTAGCGCGTTAATAAGCCAATGCCAGCCAGAGATCGCACACAATCCTGCATTTCGGTTAACATCCGAGTAGTGGAAGCATGCAGACCAGTGTGCCGTTATTGTTGTATGTACAGTCTACATTACTACAGATTATCAAACACAGTTGCCATTTGTCGTCACAGTTATTACACCCCAGAACAGCTGCACATATCACAAAACCACGTTTATCATAAGCCTTTACTTTATTTATACACAAACAGTGTCGTTTTCTAACCCGTAATTTTCTCCATCTGTTCAAATTCAATTGATAATTTTCCCGATCGTTACTGTGGAAACGAGTTTTAATTATCAAGTTCTTGTCACGGTTACAGGGTATTCCGACAAAATCTCCCCATCAACAAAAGCCCTGATGCCGGTGCTAAGTCACTGTCACGTCGGTCTGGGACACGTGACTGAAGTGGCTGGTCCACTGGCTGGCCCGCCTCTTCCGGATGCGTGACAGGAACACATCAGCCGCTCCAGAGATGCGCTGATATTTATATCAATCGTGATTTTAAAACTGCACGAAAACGAAAATCATGTCCGCGTCGACTAACAATATTTCACTGGCAGTTTGATCAATGCACGCCCCATGTACCAACATCACTTTGTGGCAGTGTTGTTTCTTAACTAGTATATACTTTTGTAGTATTCTCCCGTGACTTCAGTAAATACTGGATTGTGATTGGTCAATTAAAGTCAGAGGTATATAATCACGTTATATACCTCTGATTTTCCATCACAGTATGTATTTGTTTTAATCTTAATAATACGGTTATGGTAGAATGGAGATAAGCATACTGTGTTAGAAAATCAGAGATATAACGAAATTATTATAGATTGTTCTTTTATTTAAAACCTCAAGCTACGCGTTTGCTTTTAAATCAAATTTGGAGCTATTATAATTTCGTGATATACCTCTGATTTTCCAACACAGTATGTTTATCTCCTAAATATTACTTTCAATTTAGTAAAGTTAATTCGATATGTCAAAATATACACTCAGTATGCGATAAGAGGTTACTTTTCGTAAATGATTTACTTCCTAGCTGCCGATAATGAGACAAATGATTGCGAAAATGAGCTTGGGAATTTATTTTGGACAAACATTGACTTTGAATGCAGTGGTATTGAGATATGTGAAACATTCTGTGAGGCATTCACGGTATACAATATTTACATATGCACAAAGGAAAAGTATATACATTTAAAACGTCTTTATTTGGAAGACAATAATGAAAATGGACAGGGAAAAAACAAGTAACAACATGGACATATTGTCAGGCACACGAAGTAGGGACAGGTCATTGCATATAATCACAAAGTCGTAATAAAGTATAAAACAGTTTTAGCAATGATTACAGAGATACCTCGAAACTGGATTTCATCGTATGTAGTCTATAAGATCAGGGCACTTATTCTCGAAACGATCGTAGCCCTAAGAATGGCAAACTTAGATCGTAGGGATGTGTTAAGAATGGGCTTAAGAAGTTCGTAGGGATAGAACGTTTCGAGAATAGCTAGCCAGATGTTTAGTACAAGACAGCCTGCAAGAGCACCCTTAAAATCACGTATGGTCATATTTGCCATAAATATTGCTTTCCTGCAAATGTTGGTACTCGTCTCTTTCAGTGAGCTGTAGATACATGTGATTATTTACAATGATATCGTGAACATCGCCCCCTTGGGTAACAGACGATTGGGGATGGGCATGAACGTTGTGTGATGACATGTGTCTGTAGTGACAGACATCACAGACTTGAGTGAAAGGCACACTACATGGGTTTACATGTAAACAGGTAAATATATTACTGTATCAAAACATATGAAGGCACACTTACAGGAGCAGTATGAAAGTGAAAGATTAATATGACATGGATGACATCACATTTTAAAACACATTTACAAAAGATTATCACACGGTGCAATGTACAGGAGTGGGAACTGAAACAAGCTAGCAGTGGGGATATATGACACAAGGTCACTGGCGACAGGGTTAGCTATGAGACTTCTATTTAAAACAAAGACGATTACAACCTTCACTCACTGGATTAAACATTGTGAACATTCAAAATAACGCGAACGACAGAAAATGTAATACTTTTAGATTATATATACACAACTTTGATTTAAGGCTCAGGTGCACAGTGCAATGTGAATTGCAGTAAATGTATATGTACATGTGAAGATGATCTAATCTGCTAATGGAAGACTTCTGTCAATAATACCGTTTAGGCAATGCCGCAAAATCCAGATCGGTCGTATCCGTGGTGACGGAAAGATCCGACAAGTTGCTGAACTAGTTAGACTAATTGATCATTCGCCACCGCTCGCCCCTTTCCGTAACCTGCACGGCAAATCCCGGAACGACACGAATGGTGGCGAAAGCTACCTGACACGATGTCGAGGAAGCACGGAGTGGTCTATATACAGTGTTCTTTGGATGACTCTAGCACTCGCACATGCTATCTACTTATCTACATACTTACACAATCTGTACACGCTCACCTTCGCTACGGGACTGCCAAAGTTGATTCTTGTCAGTTTTGGATGCATTGCCATGAAACGGACCTTGTTGCTACATGCCTGTTAATGTCTTAACTTCACATCCAAATTTCAACATCGAAATGTAGCAGAAGGGTTTGACCGTACGCAATTCTGATTGGTTTAGTTCCGGAGTCACGGTTGACGAGAAATTAAGTGAATGGCCTGTTAGTTTAATGTTAAGTCAAGGACGGTACATCTAGAAAAAGAAATACGGCTTTTAAATGACAGTTTGGGGTCATACAAAAGCCACTGTTCAACTATTTGGAAGAAATGATAGGAGGCACATTTGGTAAGAGATCGACAGGTATTTCTGCTTTGTGACGTGGCAATTGATAGAATTAGAACAATAAAAAGAATAGCGGCCCTTTCACGGCCATTGGCAGCCCGTTAGGAAGGATGGCCACTCCCTGGAATTTACATCCAGTGTGGCGGCTGGAACACGAGTATTGTGGTACTGAAGAAGTAATACTGTTTGGTAGCACCGATTTTAAGCATACACAAAATTGACACCTACTGATAATTTGTACATGACTAGCATAATAAAGCAGACACAAGATGCCACCCTGTACTTCAGGCAGCCATTACACAAAGTTTGGCACACAGAGTCACTGCACACGTTACTAAAGCACGTCTGTTTCTACATGATACCCACTGCAGGTAATTACACGAGGAATGTCAATATCAAATGTCAGATTGCACGTTGAAATATATTGCACATGGGGACTTCTTGACATTGTCTCTGGACGGTCACGTGACTTGAGATGACATCACCCGTGTTTTGGTGAAAAATCACAAAAGCGTTAAAAGTGTTCTGTCACTTTGGAACGATTGCACTGGTCTCGGCGAATCTCGTCGCACCCCGATGCAAATCTCGAGCCGTCGCTGCTTTTGAAATCCAAACTCTTCACAGTCAGAAACAATCATACTCTAACCTGTAACGTAAAACAAATATCAGTTTAGAAATATGAGAGCGGAAACAAAATGAAATTAAGGTTGCAATAATAGCTAATAACCAGCCAGCATCGTTTGTGGAGATTAGAAGGACCAGCGTCGGAGGGGTAATTACTAAACAAAGACTCGTTCTTTTGTTGAAAGATCGATGAAAAACAATCGCCCTAAGTGATTCAAGTTTCTCAGCATTGTGTGTGTAATATGTTCCCGGTTTACCGTCTTCCAGAAAATGACAGGCTACAGAAATATATCATACCACTAACTCCTACTTCAGAGCCAGGATGAAATGGCACATCTGGCGTACAAACTGATTGTATTTCGTGTGCATCAGAAGGACATACATCACAATTGTCGATGACGATGATCTGATGATATACTGAGAGAAATAAATAAAGGAACACAAGAAAACACAAGCGTTCCTTTAATATTTTCCAGTTTTCATCACCAGCTTTGAATAGTGCTGTCGGAGGAAATCTGAGAATAAATAAAGGAATACAGCCATGAAGTGATGTTCCCTTATTTGTTTCCCTCAGTATATACTAGGATATCCTTTCGCATTTTTGACAACTAGAAGTATTTTAATTCACTTACTGACCTGGCTATGGGAGCCGAGGTTTGAAGGGGCCGGTGTCGTTCTATGTGTTGAATTCTGGAAGACTCTATACCAGCACTCGTTGCACCTCGAGGTGGATGTGACGCGCTTGCTGGAAGTCTCGAAGATGGTTCGGGTCTGTCTCCGACCACAAGTGAATATGGAGGTGGTGGTTCTTCCTCCCAGTAACATGACGGGTAATCATATACGTAGCGTCCTCTAGCACCGTTGGTTGACCTGGTATTTTCTTCCCTATTTTGGCGAGTTCTCGGGCTGTTAATCTCTCTTCTACCGCCGCTAGGCGTCGCTCTACCCACGTCCGGTGACATCCTTGCGGCCATGCCAGGGACACAGATGATTCTACCAGAAACAGCTTCATGATAGGACGGAGGACGGAGCGACGACCTGTGGGAACTATTTCTGGCTAAGGACGTTTGGCCTTGTGGGGATTCGTTCTCAGTGGTGAAGGCTGGGTTGTCTCCCCCTCGTGAATTTCGGTTGGACGATACGGTGAAGATCGACGTTCTGAAATGTGTGAAACTACGAATGAAGAAATCTCAAAATACATGTTTTGTTGAAAATAGTTGGAGTTTAGCCAGCTTTTATCACACAAAGAGTTGATTTATGTAATTGTTGGCATATTGACTTGTTGGTTATACGCAAACAATACACTAAATAGCGTATGATAAACACCAAAAAAAATAGAATGAACCGATACAGTTAGAGATTCGATAACACTACAGCTACAGTTTCGGTTTGAAATCTACCACTGATGGGACAATGTATGGAAACATTACGACTAGAAACACATACCTGGGTGAACTCCCCCTGACATCCTTCTTGTGTGACGTCACAATGACAGCAAGGAGCACGAGCAGCGCGAGCAGCAGGACGCCACCTAGCACCCACACGATGATGATGATTGTCTCCACCTGAACCTCTTCTGCCTCTGCAACTTCCACGTCTGAATCCAAACAAATCCCCAATCACACAAAGTCATTTCAGAACATTATTGCAAATCTGCAACTTGTAGTGTTTTGGAACAGGGTGGCTGTCGGTACAAGAGTACAGAACATACGCACATACTTGATGGCAGTACGGTATACTGAGGTGAATGCAATATGCAGGTTGCTTCCACTGGACAGTTAACGACTTGGAGATTTTCAAATCAAAACTGCATACATACCCCCTTAAGAAAACATTAACTTTTATTTCTCGAGTTCGGAGAGTGCTACTGAGCAGGCGCTATATAAATGGTTTTATGGTGATGATGTTCAATATGATACCTGGTGTACAGGGCGCCTTGGTGCCGTTCCAGACTCTACTTGAAAGGCACTTGAGCACAGTAACTGTGCGGTTGTTGCAGAGGACGTTAACAACACTGTTGATGCTGCGGTTGGACGAGTTGATGGTGTAACCAAGGTTCGAGTCCACTTTCAGAAGCGGCGGACATAATTCTGAAACATAAATGACACTCTATAGAGAGGCGGACCCTGCATCACAATAGGAAACGCTAGCTTTGTGGACTTAGTGGTAGACGAACACAGATGTCACTCGACTAGAAGACAACATTAACACCATACCTTAAATGGTGTAAACTAACACACTGGGGCTCGGGATGGCGATTTATTGTAAAGCAAACATTTTAAAGCTTTTAATGAATCCAGAATATGATTAAGATTTGTTTAGTTTTGACTTCAATGGATGACATCCGATGTCACCACCTTTTGTGCTTTGGACAAAAAAAACATTTCAAAGTTTAAAATGGCTGCCCACATTAACCCAATTGTCCAGACATCGTGGTGACGTCATGTGGGAGGGATATGCACATTATCTAAACGACAAAGTCCAAATATTAACTCATCAGATTCACTTGTATGCGCTCATGTATGCATGAAAGTTGCAGATTAAAACCAGTGATGTCACGTCTTACTCATCTCCCCTACCCCGAGAAGTGACCCTATCTCTCTTACCCCCGACCCTGTCTCCCCCACCCCTCCTCCCGCACAAGGCCGGGCCGCGCTGATGACTCACAGAGACAGAGGGTATTGTTCTTAGCCGGGGTGATTACCCTCCCTGCGTACGGGTGTACGGTGTCTACAGAAGCGCTGATCAATGACAGGCCACCGTGGCCATGTGTGCTGTATTGATTTCAGGTCATCTTCAGACGGCTGAGCCCCCATCTCTGTCGGGAGGGGGAAGCTGTATTGTCTCCCAACTATGGTTGGGTGACTCCTACTTTCTAATTTGTACATGCATGTCATTACGGAATATTGTCAAGCCGTATAAGGCTTGATTGTGTAGCAGGCCAACTCCAGGCGACGATGGGGATGTGTTCACTTTTTAAAAAGAAATTGTCAACTTTTAGAATGACTCATCGGGCGTCTTTTTTCACGTCCGATTACCAATTTAAGAATCAGATTTTTAGAAAATGACCTTTTGTCTGTTAGTCATCGTTTTGGTTACAATGACGTCAGGGTGAAGGGGGCATATTTCAGAAGTAAAACATTCCTATTAATAAGACCGCGTTGTCTAATACTTTAGTCTCAAAGTTAGCATGGGGAGAAAGTTCAAGGGTACGAAACCTATCAAACTGGGTGGGTGTTTGGAAGGACCTCCTGTGTAAGAATGAGAAAGGCAGGTTTGTTTGCTGAGATCATTTTGTTGAAATACCACATGCTCAACTTGTAGTGCAGAATGCTACTTGACTTTTCCATAATGGCATCACAATTGAAAAACTGTAGAATAGAGATGGTTGGATAAGCAGACAGATTGAAACAAGATCACGAATTGTTTGCAGCGGTCAGCGACCCCGGTCAAGCAACTAACCCTGGTGATACAGGGCGGGCTTCTGTGTCCCTCATTATTATGTTTAAGATCGCATCTTATTGATGGCTTGTTTATGAGCTGCAAACCGACTAATATTTCTCTTTGTAAATCATCCATTGAACAAGGCAGATTATTGTGGGTAGCTTTGGAGATACCCTGGCTATGGGCGCGAAAGGTCACTATATCGTTTCAGGGGTAGCCACCATACAATGGCGGTTCCCTCTCCCCTAAAACCCGCATCTGGAGAACAACTGGCGGCGATATTTGACGGCGCGTGCATCTGTCGCGTGCAACCTCTACATTTAAGCGAGCTTTTGTCTTCGGTCATGCGCGTGCATCATGTCCCTTATGTCGACTCAGTTCATATCCCAAGTAACTCCAGGAGAAATATGCCAAACACAGGTTTCCCTCAGGACTGGAGGAAGCGTCGTGTCGGCAAAGTTCAAAGGAAACGACTCATGCGTGTTTACCCATGTGTGTGATTTGACGAAATACCACCGTTACCCGGTTAACAGTACATTTATGCGGTTTGTTTGTGGAGAGTTATTAAGTTTATGATGCATTTGTACAAGGGAAAATTTTATGTGAAGGTGTATGCTGTACACAGAAATAAACAAAATATACGTGTGATCGTTAATGTCTCACTAAACATTGTTCTAGTCGGTATCTTGATGATTACCAAATGTCTCAAATGTTATGGAAACCAGGAATAGGGTATATGTTTGTTAAAATAAATATGGTAAGTTCATAAAGTGAATGATGACGTGAATCTCCTAAACGAAAGATGAAACGTTGCCACAATGAAATGTGCATCGGAAATGCAAAGTAAAATATTTTTCTTCAATCGCATTACGAATAGGTTGCACAGCTAAGACAAATTAACACTGGGAGTTTGCAAGATGGGGATGAGCAAGAAGAAGAAAAATATTTTATTTTAAGTGTCACACATTTCATAAAAGTTTCCTGCCATGGTGTACATAAAAGTAATATATTAAAAGATTGATACTGTAAAATATAATAAAAGGTCACAGATACATAAAATACAGTACGACCCAGTGAGATGATAATATTAAGTGGCTCAGTGGTGGACATTCCTATAATAAAACATGGTAAAAACCGTTGCAGCTATGGATTGTATACGGCATTCGTTGGAAAATACGTAAATAGCTATATTAACTGAGGATAAGGCATTGAAGGATCCATCATATATGTCTAGTTTATTAAAGAGCTCATATATGATTTCATTACATAAACTACATTCAACAAGAAAATGAACCTCGTCCTCGACGGAGTTACTGTTACAAAATTTGCGTGATTTTCTAAAGGAATTATAGGTTGTGTAAAATGTCCAGTTTCAATGATCCGCATTGTAACTTGCTGAGGATACTTCGATGGGAACGAATAAGAATAACTTTAACATAATATTCAACAGAAAGGGTGTGCTTGAAAAAGCGATAGGTACGTGGTTTGTTGCCATTGAGAACAAAATGAAACTGCATCGGACGCCTGAGTGGACGACATACGCGTGGCGGTGGTGTGACATGGGGCTACGACTTCGTCAACCTGTGCGTCCGGGTCAGTGATCCGTGCAGCAGAGAGCATTTAACAATTGTAATGGACACATATTTCCTGATTGAATTGCGGAGTTAATGACTTATTTCATCGCGGATCTTTTACAATCATCGTTAATTACAGAAATGGACATGCTCATTGAACTGACTTGTCAAATTTCTGACCGTTAAATTGCATGTATGGGTCCGTGCACGGTAATTTCAAATAAAAGAGTTTCCAAGTTATCTTCAAACAACACTGAGTGAAAATACTGGTTCATGGCATTTCATGCTCACATGCACAAGAGCATTAACAAGTTTACTTATTGCAGAACGTCGCTATGTTGCGTGTCACGGCCAAAGTTGTCATGGCGGGAATATCCTCAAGCTATTTCAATTTCCAAGTGAATATGTCAAACCGACATGCAGGTGGGTCGTGATTAATTCTGTTAGTTATTGATAATATTATATTAGCAAAACAGCATCCGAAGTCATATTTCTTGACATTAACTAAATACCTTCCGGAAGTTTATTTACCGCTGAGTTCTAATGGTCGATCACATGATCTGTGAATCATTCCTCGTTCCGCCATATTAATTATGGCACATGGGACCTTGAATGCTGCCGCACGCGCAGATGTTTGTTAAATCTTGGACAACAATGAAACTCTACACCGTATAACGGGGATTAATCATGCTTGCTTTGTCCTGGGAAACATCACACAAATGCCCTCTTTGTACAGGCGTGAAACTTGTATTGTGTTACAAGAGATACGGCGAAATGCAAAGACGGCACTTGGAGTGTTATATTTCCACTCTCAGACAGATATCAGCCCTGCTCGCACAAGACTCGAAATATCTATTATACGACGCCATTTATTTCATTATGAAGGCATCGAGAGGTTTGCATCTGTCAATCAACACTACAGCCCCGCTACTTTACACTTGAAGGAGGCTGATCGCTGGAGTTGTCAATTGACAACAGCGACTTTTTATTCCCGGGTCATTTACAGTCTCCCTATCCAGTCTATTGTCAGTCTCAAATTGGATTCAGTATTGCTAAAAAATCAAGTATTGTCGCCGTTCAAATATAATCTGGATTGTTTTGTGTCTGAAGTGATTTTGATGGTAAATCAAATTTACACGGCTGATTATTTTGTTGATAAATACTTTCTCATGTAAACAGCTAAAGTGGTGGACCTTTTAAAACCTCTTTCAAAGCCAGTACTCGAAAATTTGAATTCCTTAATAATTTGCACTTTGAAAAAACTATCTGCTCCATTAACGAAACTCAGATAATGAATGCATTAATTTAGTTTAATTCTGTCTCCCATTGTGATTTCTAGGAGAAATTTGACATTGCGATTTTAGGTTTGCTAAACTCTGACCAACAAAACCCTATTTCAATATAAAGATATTTTAGGTTACTGCAACAATATTTATAATGAAAACGTGGTAAATGATAACGAATTAAAAGTTGATAAAAGATGCTCCGACATCCTGGTGGGATCAGTGCGCACATATATGGACATCACAAAACCAGTCTAGATATAATTACAGATCCAACCAAGTGGCCGCACGTGCTCTTTGGATGATTAAGCTCCTAACCCCTCTAAATAATCACACCGATCATAAATACTCGTCCAATTCAGATTGTAATTATATTTGGATCCTAGACCCTGTCGTGTAAGATAAATATAGCTGGGTTCAAGTGTCCCCCCTCCTAAGAGACTGAGACAAGACTTGCGATGGGGTAATTAAGGGTTGCTAAAATGCTCCCCCACCTCGGCCGATTATCCTACAATTATCGCTGTTAAGCCTGGACATTTGAATGACATTCGTCCAGGAATTATATAGCCCCTTGTTGAAATCAGCCCTACGTCGTATTGACAAAGGTTGCTCTTATGAAGATAGCAACAATTTCCGTGTCGAGTACAGATGTGGGCAAATCTCGCGAGATCACATTGTCTGTGCATGGAATAAAGTGATTTTCTGAATTATAGGGGCACGGGTATCTGTTTCAGTAACTTCATCGTGACTTTTGAACATGCAGTAATCAGGTCGGAGTTCAACGCCGTC